GCTCCCCAGGGACCAGCCACCCTGCATAACCTCCTCCAGCACAAAAACCTGTCACAGCTTGCACGGAGAGAGATGAGACCACGAACAGTAGGACGGATTTTAAGTCAGAAGATAAGTAATTAAATCAAAATGATTCCACCAAGTGTGAGAAACTGCCCGCTCTTCTGTGAGAGATCTCATTGCCATCCAGTCTTCTAGCACTAACACATACACCTCTTCAGAAACACTGCAGATCTCAGAGGCAAGTAAAAGATTAGGAAGAATAATGTAGTTTTTCTAACATTAGTCAGTATAAACTAGTGCTGGATAACACAATCTTATCTTCCATCACCAGCCACAGGTACTAGCCTGACCATTCAGTCATCAGTGTAAAAGATCTTTACAGACGAAAAAGGACACGATTAGCCTCTGTGAGCATTTTTAAACGTGTAAAATCAGTACCTCTCTAAATGAAAAAAGGAACACCTAGGAGTAAGACCAGTCAAGTGCAAATAACTACACAGCTGAGAAAGGGAAGTGAAAAACAGACTTCTCAGGATGTGAAGATGTTCGTCAAGATTAAATTGCAGGTTCTCTTTGCAGGTTCAGTAACACTTGCTCAACACCAAAAACACAACTTTAATTTTAGCTTCCTTTTTAGAAAGCTTAGAATAGGACTGAAAGGATATAAAATAATCTGTAGGTTTAACCTTTGCTGTAAATATTCTCCTACCAAAGAACTAAGCCTCTGACATATAATGGGATAAACAGACATTATTAATGGTTTTAGTTTCACATTTTAGGCACGTGTTTACCTCAACATGACAGAAATACCTCAGACAAAATTTACAGTAGCAGTTTCCCAAACATACCCAGTTTTACTTTGTTGTATTTTGAAGGGCTATATATTTTTTTATAAATAAAACAGCTTTTATACGTCATTTGTTTCATTTCGAACAGAAAGCTCACTATCACAAAAATTTACAATTCATAAAAAAATATGAGTATCATGTTACCTTTTATTTCCTAAGCTAAATTTATTTTCTCATAAAGCAATAAGAACGTTTTTGAAGTGGTCTAGGAATAAGTCTATTGTTATTTATTGAGAGTAGTCACAGAAGAAGGTTGTCATCCAGCCTTTAAAATAGCAATCCTGAGAAAGAGCCACATCAATATGTACAAAACCAGAATCTTATAAATCAGTTTGTTTGCAAGCAGACTAATACTTTGAGGCTCAAAACACCTGAATTTTGCTGAGCCTCGCTAATGATCACTCTTGTTCCCAAAGTAACACATTACACATGATCCACTAAAAGGCGACACACAGTTCAGTAAGTGCCAAAGACTTTTCCAAGATGAGCATGAGACAAAGGGAAGGAAAGGACACACAGATATTAATGCTATACTCAGCGAGGGGCTGGCACTTTCCAAGCTCAGCATGAGATTCTCCTCCTCTTCCTGCTGTCTTGTTTTTTGCCAGAGTGAAGTGCTGAGCTTGGCAGGATAGGGCATGGCAAAAAGAGCAGAAATCACATGTTAACTCAACACCCCATGGAGAACTTCTCTGGCCAAAATGAAAAAGCGGGGCTGGAAACCTCCAGATCACAAGAACAATTTTCCCACCAACCCCAATAGAGAAGCAGAATCTTTGCAAATGAGATTCAGCAACGTTAAACAAAAGGGTACAGATTTAATGGAGAGTGCAGGAATCAACTCTTCAAGTCAGTACAACCAAACTGATTTAAACTAAACTGCATCATTCACAACCGTGTGTGTCGTACAGAAAAGTCCCAGAAAAACAGCATCTTGTCTTGCAGAATTATTATAGCAGGAAGAAAACTTCAGTTGGACCATTGAGAGAAGTTGTTAGGGGTATGATATAGTTTGGCATTAAAAAGCAAGTAATACTTAATTCCAAAAGGAAGAGTTACCTTCTGGAGGCGTTGCAACACTGTTCCCAAGTCCCAAAATAGCAATGCTGTGATTCCTTGGTTCCAGCATCATTGCAAACTCTTCTCCTCTTTCCCAGTGTGGTACTTTCACAGGCTCCAGATGCACATTTTCCAGCCCATCTTCCTGCAGGGCACTGAAAATATACTTGATAGCTGCATCTAGATTTTTTGAACCACTGAGTCTAGGTCCTATGGTATCGGCAAAAACTGCTAATCTTTCATAGGATCTGTTCTGAGCTTTTCCATGAACAGCAAGATCGATAATAGCTTTAGCAATACCGGTATAGCCAGCTATCTCATTTTTGATGTCTTCAAAAGTTTTTGGGTAACTGTCATCTCTTCTTAAAGATTTCCCAGCATACTGTGGTAATAAACTCATGAAAAATATTAAGAATATGTACTTCATTTTTTCTCTTTTTTCTTTTCCACAGATGGCCTGTTGGAGAGACAAAAAGAAAAAAAATATTGAAAAAAAAAAATAATCATACAGCTATATCAGCAATGCATTTTGTTATTTGGATTGGCAAACAGACCAAAATGAAAAGAAAACAGTTTATCATGAAAATGCTTTGATCAGAACTGGCAGGAAAGTAAACTCAACACGGAGACACAATTATTGAAAGCAAATGAAAAAGATACTTAGATCACTGGACACAATCTTTGTTGTGGTCTTCAGAAACATCCTTGGAATGCTGCATCTCTTTAAATAATCACAATCCTTCACTGAATCAAAACCCAGGGCTGCTCCCATCCAGGAGGAGCTTTGCATCTCCTTTCTGTTAGGATTTCCCAGAAGTGTCAAATCAAGTGTCTTCACACAAAACATCTGGAGAAAAACATTTTTTAAACCATTCATGAATAAAAGTGCTTCTTAATCTCTATCTTCCGAATCAGGAAAGCACTTTCTATTGCACTAGAAAGATGTCAGAGCAATTTAGATCCAATGCCCCCAGGAAGAAAGCATTAATTTCTTCATCACATAATTCCATGACTACCAGCGAAACACAATTTCTTATTAACTGCTGTATCTCTTGAGGACCGACTTCAACAACACCGTAGAGAGGTGCAGTGCCAGGGGTGCTGATCCTGTGTCAAATACCAAGAGTTATCTTTGTTAATGCTTTATAGTTTATCCATCTTATCATTAAAAGTTCTCACTTTTAAGATCTCACAAATTTTCCATCCCATAAAAGCAACAGTTTCCCTTTACTACTAACTGAACTGACAAAAAAAAAAAAAATCTGGAATCGGTTGGAGAAGTTGCAAAGCTCTTTTATAACATAGGAAGTATGACTATCCAAACACAAAATATAAATATTATTGATATACACAAAAGGAACTGTAATTGTTTCATTTTTTTTTAATTTAAATCAAGCTGCAATTTGAATGATAAAAATTAGCAATAAGAAATAAGGCCTTTAAATCACCTCTGTAACTGCAGCTATTAAGAGACTTAAAAAAACAGCAATTAGTTACAGCCAAGTGAAGTGGCAATTACTACTAGCCCTAAAAGATTTTGATTCAGCAGGTTTGTCATTTTATGGATTTTCATGGGAATACCGACATTTTCGAGAAAGAACGTAATTTGCCTCAAAAAATAGTAACATTAAAGGCAAATGTTAGCCTCTACTCTACAAAATATGTTTTTCTAGGATACAATTGTTCTACAAAGAGCAAAGGAAACTGGCCATCATGGAAAAAAGCCTGATTCCATCCTCTTTGCATCTTCCTATCAGGTATTTATACCCTCTGAGGAGATCCCTCTGAGCCTTCTCTCCTCCTCTCTAGGCTCAACAGTCCCAGCTCCCTCAGCCATTCCTCATATAGAAGATGCTCCAATCCCTTAATCCTCTCTCTCTTGTACTAAGGAGCCCAGAACTGGACACAACACTCCACGTGTGGCCTCACCAGAGCTGAGCAGAGGAGAAGGATCACCTCCATGAAACAGCTGGCAACATTCCTCTTAATGCAGTCCACCAGGATGTTGGCCTTTGCCACAAAGGTACATTGCTGACCTTCAACTTTGGGTCCACCAGGACCCCTAGATCCTTTTCTGCAAAGCTTCTTTCCAGCTGAGCAGCTCCCAGCATGCCTTGGTGCACGGGGTTGTTCTTCATCAGGTGCAGGACTTTTCATTTCCTCTTCTCGAACATCATGAGATTCCTGTCAGCCCATTTCTCCAGCCTGTTGAGGTCCCTCTGAATGTCAGCACAACCCTCTGCTGTACTAGCCACTTCTCCTAACTTTCTATCATCTGCAAACTTGCTGAGGGTGCTCTCTGTCCAAGTATCCAGAAGATGCTGAAGAGTACTGGACCAAATATTGACTTCTGAGGGACACCTCTAGTTACTAACCACCAACTGAACTTTGTGCCAATGATGACAACCCTCTCAGCTCAGCTGTTGAGACAATTTTCAGTTCACCTTACTGTCTGTTCACCCAGTTCACACCTCATCAGCTTCCCCAAGATTTTATGAGAGACAGTGTTAAAAGCCTTACTCATGTCAAGATAGAAAACATCCATTGATCTCCCCTTGTTTACTAAGCCAGGCATTTCATCATAGAAGGTTATCAGGTTGGTCAAGCACGACCTCCTCCTTGGTAAATCCATGCTGACTACTCCCAGTCACCTTGTCTTTCATGTGCCTGGAAATTATCTTCATGATTGAGGTCCTGATCAGCCTGTAGTTCCTGGGAAACTCCTTTCTGTGCTTTTTGAAGATAGACATTACATTTGCTCTCTTCCAGTCCTCAGATACCTCTGCTGATTGCTATGATCTTCCAAAGATGATTGAGAATGGCCTTCCAATAACATCAGCCAGCATCCTCAGCACTCATGGGTGCATTCCACCAGGGCCCATAGACCTAAGGATGTCCAGTTTTCTTAAGTATTACCTCTTTCAGGGCCTTATCCCACAGGACTTTTATCAAGCACATCTTTGAAGAGGCCAAAGTCTTCTCTCCTGAAGTCCAGCACTGTGATCTTGCTCTTTGCCCTGCTCTTAGGATCCTGAACTCCATTATCTCATGGCAACTGCAGCAAAGGCTGCCTTTGACCTTCATACCACACCTGCCCTTCCTTGATTGTATGAGGTCCAGGAGAGCACCACGACCTCTGCTTGCTAGCTTCTCTATTGCCTGTATCAGGAACCTCCTGGATTGCTTATAACCTGCTATACTGACCCTCCAGCAGATATTGGGACGGTTAAAGTACATCATGAGCATCAGGGCCTGTGAATGAGGAGCTTATTCTAGCTTTCAAGGCCTCATCTACTTGTTTTTCCTGATCAGGTGGCCTATAGCAGATTGCTACTACAATGCACTCATATCAGTCTGCTCTTTAATCCTTATCCATAAGCTCAGCTGGCTCATCATCCATCCTCAGGTAGAACTCCACACATTCCAGCTGTCCTCTCACGTAAAGGGCAACTCCACCTCCTCTTCTTCCCAGTCTGTCCTTCCTAAAGAACATATATCCATCCTCTGTAGCATTCCAGTCATGTGAGCTACCATCCCACATCTCCATGATCCCAACAAGATCATAGCCCTGCAACTGCACAGAGATCCCTAACTCCTCATATTTACTCCTCATGTTGCGTATATTAGTGTACAAGCACTTAGAAGCATGGAATCATCAATGGAAACAGAAGAGGCAACCCACATCATCTTTGTAAGAGCTGTCTGATCAGCTCCCGAGAAGGAGGGATGACCCACTAGGCATGCTTTCATGAGATGCTACCTGAAACGCTGGCTGTGCAATGCGGAATTAAGACACAAGAAAGAGTAAAAGGACTAAACCACATTTCTAGGATCCATAAACCACAAAAAAAAAAAACAAAAACCCACAAACCAACAAAAAACACAAACCCCCAAAAAAACACACACAAATGTTTCGGAGTCACCAAGCCCTTTTGGAGTCACCAACCCTAGCTCATATGATAACCAGCACAAATTGCCAGCCTTTCATAGGCCTTTATGGGTCTTTTCATAAACAGCAAGTTAAACAACAGCTTTAGCAATATATGAACATTAAATTATTCTCTTTAACTACTCAAACTTCCCCTAAACTTGAGATCACGGGAGTAACAAATTCTTCCTAGTGAAGGGTCATTTTCCCAAAAGAACAACAAAAATTATCTGTGATTTCATCTATGAATGATAAATCTACCATACAGATTTCCTCTCTCTCTGCGAGACAGACAGGGCAAAGGTCTTACACAGCCAGGAGCAGAAGACTCGGGTTATCTCAGGACACTGACAGAGAACTGTAAAATGCCTTTTATAGTCTGAGTTACTGTTTATATGTGGTTATACTACACAGAGGGTATTGGTGTATTTTTATTGCTATGCTCTGTACTTTCCCCATGTTCCTTCCCTTTGGACCAGTTAATTATATGCTCATAGACATCCTCTACTAGAGACATCAGTAATTTTCTCAGGATGACCATGCTCGTTCCCTGTTTTTTGCCAAGCTCATCATCCATAAAGAAGCAAGCAAGATAATCTGATTTCTGCCATAAAACAAATTCTTGCTGAGTGGAATAAGACAGCAGCTTTGTAGAGTTAGTTTCCAAAACTTCAGGTTTGGGGTTTTGTTTGTTTAAGCACTGGAAAAATCTACCAGACAATGCCGATACATTTAGCTGTTACACAGAAAACACAGGGGGATTGTTTAATTAGCACTGGCCACCTCCAAGAGCCCCCAGCTACCAACTTCATGCATTTTTTCCAATGGAGAAATGAAACTGCAGTTATCACATTCCCCTTAGCTAAGAAATGCTTCCTTTGCTCTTCCTGGCATTTCAAACCTGCACTTCTTCCAGGAGTTTCCCACTGAACACTGAGAACACACATGATTCTGCAGTTTTTGTGCATGTAACATACTCCTGTCACACACAGCATTTCACCACCTGCCACTGCATTGTAAGAGAAGCGTCACTGAATTCAAACCCTGGGCAAGGACACAAGAATGGGAATGTAATTTATTGTGCTTTCCTTGAATAGTCCAGCATAATCTGTCCAAAAGCTAGCAGCGTTCAGAAATAATTTCCTGCTAGGTAAAATAATATCATACTCACTTGGACTGCAATACAGGAATCACTTCACTGCTAATTCAGGGAAAGAATAGCACATCTGTTGTCCCAGGTTCTGCAACATTAAGTTTATCACTCCAGTGAATCATGTGGGAAAAGAGACTACTGATTTTTGCACATCTCACTAGCTAAGACTCAGTAAATGAACATCACAGTGTCAGCCAAATTAAAAAAAAAAATAATAGGACAGTCACAATTGTTCGATGCATTTAATTATTCATTGAATTTCTTCAGTGAAAGTTTATAACAAAATGAGATAGGAAGAAAAGAAAACACTTTCAGAAAGTACAGTCCTTTCTCCCAGCCCTATTAATGCATGTCATCCCATGGCTCTTTAGT